CTGACATGCCCAGCCAGCTCTGGACTCCGGCCACTTGGGCCAGAGGTCAAAGGCCAGGGGGATGCCCTGGAACGGTTGGTGGCACCTACCTTGTGTCCTTGTGACCTTTGTGTTTGATTTTTATTTTGGGAGAATGGCTTTCTATTCGGTGTCAGGACTGGCCTCTCGGCACGTGTAGTGATTTGCCAAGGACCCACAACGGACCTTGTTTGAGGAAAACGACAGGAAGGGGGAAGAAGGGGAAGGAGGAGGGGAAGGAGGACAGCAAGCGAGCCAAGCTGACCTGGGCCAGTGTGACGGTTCGAGTGACCAGCACACTGTCGATAGAGCTCCTGCCCTCTCCGGACTCTGTCTTGTTGGCTTCTTTCTTCAGACAGCACTTCTCCAGGCAAGACAATGGCCACGCTTAACAGTGCTGACGAAAAGGGATCGTGGTATAGAAAAGTCTCGGGGGAGATTTGATGGACCCAAACCTGAAGACCAAACCCATTGTTGTCAGGTCAATGCCACCTCTTGGAGACCTCAGGAGTCTGCCCCATATCGATTTCTGAGACTGTAATCTTTACAGAAACAGACGGCCACCCCGTGCCCCTGAGGAGCAGCTGATGGGTTTGAACCACCGACCTCAGGTAGCAGCTGAGCATTTAACCACTGTGTCACGAGGGCTCTTCTGATTGGTTCAGGAGGAGTCACTTGACGCTTCCTGAACAAATCACCGTGGGGTGCAGTAATAAGATTGGTAGTGATTGCGGGATTGGTGGGACAGGGGAGGAGTGAACAGCCCTGCTAGGAATGGGAGAGGGAAAGGGAGATCCCGAAGGCAGGCAAAATTACCTGTTCCCCCTGTAGTGGAGCCTCTCAAGGGCTGCGCTTAGCCAAGGGGCATGGGCTGGGGAGAGGGGCTGCCCGAGGCCGTGGTGACTCGTCCCTCATTATCCGTCAGTAATGCTTGTTAAGTGCCTGCTATCACCCAGGTCTTGGTGCCCAGCCCTACATAAAACAGACAACCCTGCCAGTGTGCAACGTGTATTCTTGTGAGGAGAAACGTACAGAAGGCTTGCAATAATAAGAAAAATAGCCGCAGCCTCTCATGAGATGAGTCCTATAAGGAAAAACAAAACAGGGCAGAGGGGTAAGGAATGCAAGGGCAGCTTGATTGTGCTTGAGGAAAGCCCAGAGGAGGTGAGGGAGGGAATCACCTGGAGACGGGGAGGGGAGGGGGGAACCCCTGAGGGGGTGGGTGCCTGGCCAGTTCCAGGGGCAGCTGAGGCCAGCGCGGTTGAAGTGAATGCTGGTAAGGAGGAGACCGTAGAGATGGAGTTCAGTCAGGGGAACCCAGGCCCAGCGAGGCTTGTGCCTTAGGGACCGAGACAGTGTGTCAGACACTCCATTTGCTTGTTGTTGTTTCCTCCCCAATGGACGGTAAGTAACGGGATCCGTACAGTCATTCACTCGGCAGGCACCTCTGGGGTACCTGCTACGTGCCAGTGCTGGGCGCTCAGAGGTGAGGCTAAAGGCAGAGCAGTGAGGCACCCCTTTCAGCGCGTGGTGGTTTGTGCCTAATGTAACGGAAGAAATTCCACACTGCCAGGCACTGTGCCACCACAGTGGGACAGCGACAGAAGGGACAGTGACATAGAGTCTCGTCCAGTGGCTGTATTGTGGCTCCACGCCCTGGCTCTTGGGCCTCTCGGCCTGATCCAGATATAGCTCCTCATGACTCTAGAGCCAAACAATGCATTTATGCCCCTCCAGCATGCTCAGTAAGCAATGTCAGTGGGGAAACAGGCTCCTAGCAATGCACAGCCCTCTAGAGCATGTGCTGGCCTCCAGTCAGGGGTGTTTGCGACAGACAGCTCCTGGCCCAGAGAAGCCACTGCTTCCGACCCAGCCAAGGCTGAGGATGGGTGGGGGTCCTGGTCCGTTCTTCCAGCTCCCTGAGCTCTTGGGGGGGAGGTCTGTGTTTTTCCCCATGGTCCTCTATGGCTGTGCCTAAGGTGAGATGGGGAGGACATGGGCCAGATCCCACTCGTCCGTGTTGATTTCCATAGTGCAGAGTTCATGGCACATAGACTGTCAACAGGGATTAATGGTTTCACACTAGTGGCCTGCCTTTAAGACACCAGCTTATAGGCACAGGGCAGAGGTGGGGGTCAGGCTGTGATGCACGGGAAGGGTCCCAAGGATGGCCCTGAATTGAGGTTTGGAAGCTCAGGAGGGTGGGATGTACTAATCTCTGAATTCAGGAGCACAGAAGAAGCAGACTCATTGGGGAGAAAGGAGGAGCTGGGTTTTCAGTGTTATGTCTGAGACGCACACAGAATACTCAACATCCTGAGAGTCTCAAGATCAACAAACAAAGCTAAGGGGAAAGGGAGAGTTTGAGCGCTGGAAGGAAATGAGTCATGGTCTAGGTGCGCGCACTGGGGCTTGGGGATCAGAAGGGGGGAGGCTCTGTCTAGGGGGTGACTGGGGTGACGGCAGCTCGGGACTGAGTAAGTAAAGGCCCTGGAGCTGCTAAGGCCATGGAATTACTGGGTGCCACATCCTCCCCTTCCTCCTTGGCGCCTCCCAGAGCCAAGTGCCAATGAGTGTTTCAGCAACAAGGGCCAGGTCCGTGTGAAACACCCCTGGGAGGAAGTGGGTTCTGGGGCTTCCCTGACACCTGTCTTCAGAAGTCGTATCACAGGTGGAGAGTCTATTCTCAGACCCTCGTTCCACCTGGGAGCTGTGGGCCCCTGAGGGGGAGCAGCAGACTTTGCACGACAGCATCTTTGGGATCGGCTAACTCGGTTCCAAGGTCTTGGAAGGGACTTCTTGGGGCCACCTTGGTTGAACAGACACGCTTCTGAAACCTCCTTTTTGGTCCCGAGAAAGTTTCTAATGAAGCACAGAAAGGCAGCAGACCAGAAGGAGCCTGGTGGGGTAGTGGTGCCGTGCTGAGCTGTTAATTGTAAAGGCAGCCTTTCGAAACCACCAGCTGTTCCTGAGGGAAAGATGAGGCTTTTCTACTGCTGTAAAAAGTGACGGTCCCAGAACCCCACAGGGGAGGTCTACTCCTGCCGCATCCGCTTGACACCAGTGAGTTCAAAGGACCAGGGAGGCGTCTAGTGAAGCAGGACGCGGTGCTCAGTAGAGCCTCGTTGCATGGATGAAGCGAATGGAGTGAATGAGTAAGTTGTTTTGTTAGGGTTTTGGTTGGTTTTTTTTTTTTTTGGAAAGGCAAAATGGAAGCAGACCTCCTGAAGCTTTCCTTCTCTGTTGGCAATCAATTTACTTAACACCAGACTCTTTGCTTGATCCCATGCGACCCTCAGAAAGGAGAAAGCATTTGGACACGTGACTTAGCAGAAGCTCCATTGTTTAAATTCTGATCGGCAGTGGGGAACGAGTCATTTCGCTTTCCATTCCCCTTCTTCACACGCACAACAAATTATGCTATCATTAAAAAATGAAGTCCAGATTTTTTGCAGACCGAGTAAATTTTCTGAGCGTTTGCTCATAAAGGGATCAGCGCTCAGGTGATGCTGAGAGCACACAGGAAGGCTGCCGGGAGCCTTCGGCACACCTCATCCTTGGTAGTCGGTGCCCAGCAGGTTCGGTGGACAAAGGACGGAAGCACTGCACTGTCCCCACGTCATGCTGTGTGACGCCATCGTTGCGGCCACCATGTCACCCAGCTCTCGGCAGCTCTTCCTTGGCCTCGCTGCCCCTCTAACTGTATGCACACAATTCATTTTTAAGAAATGCTTATCCAGAGTGTGGAATGATGTCAGAGGTTTCCTGAAGTCTACAGAGCGCCCGACGTCCTAAATAAATAAGCACGGTTATTTCCCACAGTTGCCTTCTAGGATAATTAAGTGATAGACGCTCCCTCTGGGAGCTTTAAACACCCTCCCACCCCCACCCCCACCCTGCAGTTCTCTGCTCGAGCTCTTTAGCCCTCAATGGGAGCCTGCTGTCCATTTCCCTCCCAACTGGGAGGAAGGGGGGGCGGATGCAGAGCTAGCATCCACTTTCCCTGGCCCTACAAGCTCACTCTCCCCGCCCTGCCCCCACCCCCACCCCTCTCTCTCTCTCTGTCTCACGCTCAAGGCCGGAAGCGCAGGCCCTTCTAGTAATCCACGGTTCAACTGGGAGCTCTCTCCCTCTTTCCCGAAATGGATCCCAAGCCCGTGCTGGATGGCGTGGCTCAGGGCCATCTGTTCAGTCCCTGTCACCGACTCAGACATTAGAGCAGCCGCCCAGCCGTTGTCACCCTCCTTAACAGACATGCCCAGGCAGGTGTGTCCAACGTGGCTTAAGTCCAGGCGATCTCCCTCCCTGGTCCTGGCCCCAGGACAGGACCCAAGCATGACACCCTTAACGGCACCTTAAAAGTCTAGGAGACGAGCACTCCCTTGGGCCCTCCTGGGCATTCTTGTCCAGTAGGGCTGGGGCTGGCCTCTCGGAGAACACAGAGGTGTGGGGAAGCATTCTCCAGTCTCAGGCAGCACTTGTTGGGACCATCCCTCGGAGGAGCGGGCCTGGGAGGCCCACATGGTTCTGTGGATGGGCAGTCCAGCCCCTCCTTCCTGCTGCCGCCTCTGTCGCCCCACCCCTCCCCGGCAGGGGGAAGGGGAGGGGGTGGGATGAGCGCAAGGTTGATGTAATTTCTTAGTCCTCTGGGGGAGAATCCAGCATCCATCGGTTGGGTGCAAGTCATGGGGTGTCAGGATCCATCTATCCAACCTGCGATGTGTCCCGCCCCAGTGTCTCTTGCAGTGGGTCTTGGGGAGCACCCGCTAGAGTGCGGCCAAGGAGGAGGGGGGCCGTCTGCGGAGGAGGGGGGCCGTCTGCCGCCATCGCTCCTCAGCACTTAGCACCGTGGACCCAGTGACTCGGGCATGGGTTGTTTCAGCGGCGAACAAAACTCCCAGAGGAGACCCATAACCGCCTGGGCCTTCTCCCACCAGTCCCGCCTGTCCTCACGGAGGTTAGGAGCTTGTCTGAGCCCCCGCATGTCCCTGACCAAGCACTGCTTAGCCGCCTCGCCCAGTGTGAGATGCTCTCCCCTGCAGGCATCAACCTGCAGGGGGGGTTCCAGTCAGATTTGCACACCTCATCTTGGAGGTGCCGTGCACCCCAAGAATCACCCGCTCCCTGTCTAGCCATTGTTACATGTGAGCCGAGAATCAGGACCGCCGTCGGTTTGAAGCCGGGCCGTGCCTCTGGCTTGCTCTGACCTTGGGCACTTTTGCCCAATCCCTCTGAGCCTCAGTGGGCAGAGGGGACCAGCCTCTCTTCCTCCCAGAAGGTAAGGAAGCCCCCAGGGAGGTGGAGCCGTTGGCCCAAGCCTGCTGTGGAGGAAGTGTTGGCTGCTAGCCTCAGCTGCATCCCCAGCCCACTGCAGACTCCGGCCCTCTGATGCTGACCTTTCTCTCAGGTGACAGGCACGCCCTCCAAAGGCTTTGATGAGAAGGCGTACCTGGCGGCCAAGCAGCTGAGGGCTGGGGAGGACCCCTACCGGCAGCACGCCTTCAACCAGCTGGAGAGCGACAAGCTGAGTCCGGACAGGCCCATCCGCGACACCCGCCATTACAGGTGAGGCCTCCCACATGCCCATGGCGAAAGGGAGGTGGAAGCAGGGCCTGGTGTCCTTAAGAAAGGAGGAAGGATCGAGCTGAGACCTTCAAACTCTCCCTCCGAAGTTTCTCCTGACTGGAGCCTGCGCTCCTTTGAGAGTGGGGCCAGGCTACTGGCAGGCCCTCGAGGACCAAGGAAACCCTTCAGTGCCCCTGTAGACAAGGGCGGTCTGTGGGAGTGGGAGGGCTGCAGGGGGCCTGGGGAGCAGGGGCCCCGGGTGCCCCCCTGAGGGTGTCTGTGGTGGGGCCCTTGTGTTGTCTTTCCAGCCTCCCTTCCTCTTCAGCCCAGCAAGGATGCTTCCCAGTCTTCTTTGGTTTTTTTAAAATCATTTTACTGGGGGCTCGTACAATTCTTATCACAATCCATCCATCCATCCATTGTGTCAAGCACATATATACATTTGTTGCCATCATCATTCTCAAAACATTTGCCTTCTACTTGAGCCCTTAATATCGACTCCTCCTTTTTCCCCCTCCCTCCCCACTACCCCCTCCCTCATGAACCCTTCATAATTCATAAATTATTATTATTTTGTCCGATGTCTCCCCCCACCCTCTTCTCTGCTGTCCATCCCCCAGGGAGGAGGCTATACGTAGATTCTTGTAATCAGTTCCCCCTTTCCACCCCACATTCCCTCCACCCTCCAGGTATTGCCACTCTCACCACTGGTCCTGAAGGGATCAAAGGGGTCATCTGTCCTGGAGTCCCTGTGTTTCCAGTTTCTATCTGTACCAGTGTACATCCTCTGGTCTAGCCAGATTTGTAAGGTAGAATTGGGATCGTGATAGTGGGGCGGGAGGAAGCATTTAAGAACTAGAGGAAAGTTATATATTTCATCGTTACTACCCTGCACCCTGACTGGCTCATCTCCTTCCCACAACCCTTCAGTAAGGAGGTGTCCAGTTGCCTATTCTTAATGCCCCTGATGTGAAGAGGGGAGCCTGGGATTAAGGAAGTGTCCCACCTTGGGCAAGTCATTAGCCCCTGCCTCCCTACCACCACCACCACCAAAAAAAAAGTCTTGGTTTCTCAAATGAGGATGATGTGTCTGAGTCTTCTCCATTGGTCTGGCTCCCCCTGCCATAGCCTGCAGGAACCGGCTGAGCCCCTTATCCTAAGCATTAGCTGCCCTTCCCTGTGGTCTGGCCCTGCCAGCTTCCTACCTCTCCCCCCACCCTACCCTCACCTGCATTTCCTGCCCAGCAAACCTCAGCGCCTCTGTGCTCCCTCCCTGATTTTCACACATGCTGTTCCCTCTGGTTGGAGGGACAGGGACGCAGTCCTGCCCAGCCTCACCTGCAGCCCACAAGACCAGCTCAGTGTTTTCTCTGCCTTGGAACCTCCTTGCTGACCCAGCCTGGCTGGGGTGGGTAGGGGGGGGAATTCTGCTCCGTGCAGCAGTCTGGCAGAGCAGTGGGGGTGCATTGGAACTGATCCAACCCCATGTCTGCAGCTCAGAATGACCCCCCTCCAGGTCAGGTGTTAGCTAGTGCCCAGGAACAGCAGGCCTGGGAGAGCATGAACATCAGCATCCAGGTCCCCTGGGCTCAGGAGGGCCCACTACCTGCTTCTCCCCATTCCAGCGCCCTCTAGTCTGCATCCACACCCCGCCCCCCAAGAATGAGCATTAGAAAGCACAGCCAGGAGGTGGCTTTCCCCAGCCTCCCCCACTCTGTCTCCCAGGGAGAGTGATTTTAAAAACTCTCATCCTGTCTCCCACGGGGTCCCAGACTCCTGCCCGTCTGACCTGAGCTGCTCCACGGGGCAGGAAGAGGGCCTGGGAATGCTGGCTTCCGTCTGCCGTCAGTGAAAAAGCAGTCGCTGCTGGAGCAGCCAGAGAGCAATTGTAATGAAGAGGATTGGCGTGAAACCCCGCGCGCCTTGCAGCCGGCCCCAGGAGCACAGACAGATGGGTTTGCAGAAAGGAGGGGAGACGGCTGGCCAGAATGGATCGCATTAATTCTCATTCCTGAGGAGTTGGGGCCAGTGTGCCCCAAATGTGATATCTGTGGATTACGGAGCCCAGAGCCAGCAGGGGAAGGAGCAGGGTGGCGGGGCGGTGCCTGTGGTGGCCCCGCAGAAGGCAGGAGGCTGCACCCCTGTGGTACAGGGAGAAGGTAGAGGTGATCTGTCTGCAGATCCTCCCAGGGATGGGGGACGAGAAGAGAGAACTTCCATGGAGTCAGAAGACACAAGAGGCTGCTTCCCCCCTGGGTTTGCGTTTGGTCTCACTGGTTACATGTTGGGCTGCTAACTACAAGGTCAGCAGTTCGAAACCACCAGCCAGCTCCACGGGAGGAATGATGAGGCTTTGTACTTCCGCAGCAAGTCACAGTCTCGGAAACTCACAGGGGAAGTTCTACCGTGTCCTATAGGGTCACTATGAGTTGGCATCAACTCGGCGGCAGTAAGTTTGCCAGCGGTTCTCAACCTGTGAGTCGAGACCCCTTTGGGGGTCGACCAACCCTTTCACAGGGGTCACTTGATTCATAACAGTAGCAAGGGCAGCATTAGGAAGGTCGAGAGCCACTGCGCTAGAGGGTTCACCCCACAGGACAGGGAGTTGTGTTGGTACAGGGCTGTACCCAGGGCCTGGTGCAGGCTTGCAGGAACACAGGATTGGGCTGGGGGCTTCAGAGATTCTAGGTCTTTGGGAAAGAGCCCCCTGGAAAGAGGATCCTCCAGGCTGGGCGGCCTCTGAGTCCTGGACTTGAGGGAGGTGGTGATGGTTGGGCAAATGGGAGCTCAAAGCCAGGCCCCCTTTTCCGCTCCACGGTAGTCCAAAAGGGAGCAGACCTGGACAAAGAAAAGCCTGGGGCTACCCCCAGGATTGGCCTCTGCTCTCCCTGTTTCCTCAACAGTTGTCCATCTGTGTCCTACTCCTTGGACCTGCCAGCCACCAGCGTCATCATTACCTTCCACAATGAAGCCCGTTCCACCCTCCTGCGCACAGTGAAGAGGTAAGCACAGTGCTGGCCCCAGAGCCCTGGGGGGAATCCCCGAACCGCTGGCCCGGATGGATGTTGAGATAGGGGCCTGTGGCCAGACAACGTGATGACCAGACCAGCGGACACTGGAAGGGCGAGTACTATGCTGAGAAACTGCCAGGCCCACGAGGCCAGGTGTTAATGCGATGCAGCAGTCAGACAGACACAAAGTCAGGGCAGAAATGGAGGGAGGCTGGAACAGACAGGAGCCCTTCGGCGGGTAGGTCCAACCCAGTGCTTCTGGGCATGGTGACCTCTCGAGGCTGGTCCTGTGGTCGAGCTTCCACCCACTCACCTTGTTTCCTCAATGAACTTAGACAAAAGAGAATTAGGAAAAGAGTGCTCATTGGCACCCCAGAGACTCTGGAAGCTTGGGTTTCCTTCCCACCAGGAAGGGAGGAGGGAGAGTGGAAGGGAAGGAGCAGGGGGTGCTCCCCAAGAGCAAGTCTCACGACCCCTTAAACAACAAACAGTGGTTGCCTCTTTGATCCTGACTCTTGGAGACACCGCGTGTGTTAGAGGGGAACTGGGCTCCCCGAGGTTTTTAATGACTGATGTTTGGAAGAAGATACCCAGGCCTTTCCTCCAGGGCACCTCTTGATGGACATCTCCCCTGATTTCCACTTGCACCACACAGGGCCTCCTCCTGAGCCAATAGGCCCTCTGAGCAGACCACTTCCTACTGGCCAGGCGTTTTCCCAGGGCTGCAGCCCTGCACCCGCCAGCTCCACCAGGCCACCCCCTACCCCTACCCCACCTGGAGGTCAGTTCTAAATGCCCGAGGGGCTGGGAAGCAGGGTCAGCTAGGTGTCCTTGAAAGGGAATGTCCCAGCCCTGAGCTGCTTGGTGGCGAGCCCCTGGTACCGGGAGAAGTGTGTGGGAGGTGGCCCTAAGCCCATGTCCTCTTTGTCCCCACCACTGCTCCAGTGTCCTGAATCGCACTCCTGCCAACCTGATCCAGGAGATCATTTTAGTGGATGACTTCAGTTCCGACCGTAAGTATTCCCTTCCTTTCCCTCCCCGCCTTTAATCCCACCACTCCCAACACTTGAGGTGGTCCTGGCCACCACAGACAGAATTCGCTCTTTCTGTCTCGGGACCAGATTCTCACTCTTTGCTAAGCCCCCTCCCTGGCCGTGCCCCTTGGTGCCAATGGAGGCGGGGAGGTGGTATCACGAGCTGGGGCACCAGGGTGATGGCAATTTAAAACCACAACGTCAACACCGCAGCCTCCTTCATACCACTGCAGGAGATGGTCCTTCTCCGGCCTTTCAAGAGTTGGGAGATGCCTGTGCTCTCTGGCGCCCCTACTGGGTAATGACCTAGGCGCAGGCATTCCACGGCTGGTCTGGTCTGGTCTGCCCAGGGACTGGGACCGGCCAGCAGACGTGACCATCCCCCTCCATCCCTGCCCTGTCTCTGGCGCTTTCCCTGGCCTTGGTATGGGACCGCTTCTGGGAAATCCCAGGGACCCGTGTCTAAAAGGACCTTACCTTCTTTCTCCCGAACCCCACCCCAGCTGAAGACTGCCTGCTCCTGACCAGGATTCCCAAGGTCAAGTGCCTGCGCAATGACAGGCGGGAAGGTGAGTCCCGGGCCTGGGCCGCACCACCGCTGGCCTTGGTCCAGCCCCTCCACACACAGCCCTGGTCACAGCCAGCCAGCGTGGCCCTGCCGTGAACCTGATGGGCTGAGAGCAAGGGCAGTAGGAAGGCTCTCCTGCCGCCCCAGCCCCTATCCTGCCGGGATTAAGCAAGTTGCTCTTCTCTGGGTGCCTTGGTTGTCTCTTCTGAGAAATGAGACCCTCCTAGTGCCCGCTCTGCTTTGTCAGGTTATGGCGAGGATTGGGTGATGTTGGCTCCGTGCAGGTGCTCCGAGGAATTCAAAGGGCAGTCAGCACAAAGCAGCTATAGCTCGCTTCTTGACTGAAACCTCACCTGTGCAGGGCCCTGCAGGGGACACAAAGGAAGCATCCCTCAGAATCCATCGTGAAGCTGGGGACTAGTAACAGGGAGATGGGAGGCGCGGAGCAGGAGAGCTGGGCTGACCAGGGAGGAATTCTAGGGAGGAGGTGGATCTTCCTGGGGCCAGGGCCATGGGACTGATGAAGAGAAGCCAGGCTTGGGGAGGCAGCAAGCAAAGACACAGGCATGGAAGGCACAGGCATGGGGCAGGCAGAAAGAGACTTGTAAAGTCAGCCCTTCATGCATGCTCAGCATGGGGGGCATTCGGATTCCCTCAGCTAGCCCTTGCAGCAGGCTGTTGTTCCCACTGGGCATAGAAGGAAGCAGGTTGGGAGAGAGCCCCCAAAACCCAGCCTCTTAGCCTCCCTCCACTTGCACGTCCTTCCAGTGAGAAGTCAGGTCTGCAGCTGGGGGAGGGATGGGGGGAGGGGAGTTAGAGGACCAAGGACCTTGGGAGCCATAGGATTCCAGAAGGTTGGGAGTGGTAAGGCCACCAGGGGAGCCCCTGGAGATTTGAGAGCCTGCACTCGGGGACCCCATCCTGTGGCAATGGAAGTGGTCGAAGAGAGTCCCTCCCTGGCTCGGGGATAGTGGCGCGTGGGTTCGGGGGTAATCTGGCCTGGGAATGTGCTGTTTCCTAAATTCCCATCCAACAGTGGATGTAAATGGACACGTACGTACGTGCTTTAGACACTAGATCCTTACAGAGTGGAAGGGCAGACGGACAGATGGGTTTGGGATGGACAGAGGGAGAGAGGCAGAATTGGGCAGAGGTGTGGCCAGGGAAATCACTCTTACTCAGAACTCTCAGAGTGAGGCCCCCCTCCCCTCCCCACTGGGCCAAGGCCTTACTCCACAGCTCAGGTGGCCAGACCACCCAGGCCTCCTGTCTCCTGAGCAGTCAGACCTGAGGGACCAATCGTTGAAGGCCAGTGAGGTGTCAGCAAGGCTTCTAGGGAGATGAGAGAGAAAGAGGAGGAGGAGGGGGAGAATCTAAAAGCAAAATGGCTCTTGGGCACCAGGCACTCCCTAGGTTGTCCAGTTTGATGTGGACAGTGCTCTGGGGTGGGGGTCAGGGGAGGATGTGATTATCTCTCTGCATCTTTAAGAAAACGGAGGCTCACTGAGGCGCCGGCCTGTTTTGCTTGGTTGTCCTGTAGATTCCCTGTGCTGTGTGCGATCTGGGGCAGCAGAGGCTCTCAGTGGGTGCTGATGGGGGAAGAAATGCTTGGCCTCTCTCAGTGCTCTAGTGCTTCTGTGACAGAAGCACACAAACCAGTGGCTTCAACTGACAGATTTATTTTCTCACAGTTTAGGAGGCTGGGTATTCGAGTTCAGGACTTTCTCTCTCTGTGGCCTACGGAGGAAGGCCTTGTCTTTCTGCACTTCTGCTCCCAGGCCTGCTTCTCTGGACAGCGCAGCATCTCTCTTCCCCAACCTCGTTCTGCTCCTTTGATCTCTTCTCTAGCTCAAAGCAGATTGGCTCAAGATACACCCTCCCCCAGTATTGGCTCCTTGACTTAAAAACTACCCATTCCCAAATGGGATTACAGCCCAGGAATAGAGGTTAGGCTTGACAGCATGCATGTTCAAGGGGCTAGTTCAATCCAGAGGAGCACCGGTAGTGTAGCGGTTACACACTGGACTGCTAACCACAAGGTCTGCAGTTCAAACTACCAGCTGCTCCTTGGGAGAAGGACAGGCTTTCTACTCCCACAGAGTCTCAGAAACCCACAGGGGCAGTTCTAGCCTGCCCTGAAGGTCTGCTATGGGTTGGAATGGATTAGAAGGCAGTGAGTTTGGCTTGGGGCTTCTTTGTTTGCCAGGGAGTTCAATCCAGAACAGGTACCGAACCACACTACACTGCAGTTTCCACTCACTACGCTGTGACTGTCCTGGCGTGCCGCTAGAGCCTGCATGGGTTGGGCACCCAGGGGATGGCCCTTAGAGTGATGTTAGGGGATGCACAGGAGCAACCCAGGGAGGGAGGATGGGAACAGACAGAAGGGCAGCCAAGAGTGCAACCACAGTGACTGCCAGGAAGCTTCGGTCCCTGACTCCGTGGAAAGGACCCTGGGGGGCGGCTGGGAAGCCTGGTGGTGCCCCTCTCCCCCTCCCCCTCATCCCAGCACCACCTCCTGTCCACTCCCTCTGCAGGGCTGATCCGGTCCCGAGTGCGCGGGGCCGATGTGGCCGCGGCTGCCGTGCTCACCTTTCTGGACAGCCACTGCGAGGTGAACACCGAGTGGCTGCAGCCCATGCTGCAGCGGGTGAAGGAGGTGAGTCTGGCGCTCCCAGGGGGAGACAGGCGGGGCGGCCTTTGGAACGGGCTTTGGAGTCAGGGAGGCAGTGTTTGAAGCCCCCCTTGTTTGCTCCCCTCATCCAGTGATTCCCCACATTAAGCATTTTCTACCTGAAAATGAGGACAAGCTTCTGATGTGCCTCACTGGTTGTGAGAATTAAATGGATGAGAGCCTGGGTGCACTGTAAGGGTCCTAACATGAGTGGTGATCTCTGGGGGAGGGGAGGACATGAAAGGCCGGTGCTGGAGAGCCTTGGGTAAGGCAGAAAGCCAGAGAGAGGGGATGCTTTTAAAGAGCAGAGAGGGTGGGGAGCGGGGGAGGCGACTACCTTGTGCTGGCATTCTTTAGAATGGGGATGATTTGGACAGATGACCGGGAAGGGTGAGGCAATTGCAACTCAGCAATAAAAAGATAAATAAGTCCATTCGAAAATGGGCAAAGGATTTGAGTGGACCCTGCGCGGAGGTAGATATACAAATAGCCGACAAGCACGCGTGAAGCAGCTCAGCATCGAAGGTCACCAGGGGCACGCCCGCACCCACGTTCATCGCAGGATGGAAGGAGCCCGAGTGCCCATTGTAGGAGCCCTGCATAAACGCTGCAGGCACACAGTGGGAGACAGCGCAACCGCATAGCAGAGCAGTGGTGCTGAAAACCCCCTTGTGGCCCACAGGAACCCGGGGGAACTTGGAGGCCATCACGCCGAGTGAAGTCAGTCCAACATAGGACAAATGGCATAGGAGACCACGATGGCGTGATGATGTCAAGAGGTTTTCACAAGAAAAGAAACCATTCCTGAGGGTTACCAAGTCGAACTCCCCGGCTGGAGGGTAGACACTGATGCACATTAAGTGGGAGGTCAAACCAAAAACCGTGGAGACGGAAAACATAGGGACTTGCCAGTCAAGCTGCCAGTAGATAGTCCTTCATGGTCTCTGAAAGCCGTTGCCCATCACGACATCCTGACTCTGAGTGACCCTGCAGGAGCGCGCAGACCTGTCCTGGTGGGTTTCTGAGCCTGTAGGCTCCCTGGGAGCAGAAAGCTTCATCTTCGCCATTGGAGCCCCGGTGGTGCCGTGGTCTTGGGGGGGCTGTTAACTTCAAGGCTAGCAATTAGAAACCACTGGATGAGGCGTTCTACCCCGTAAAGACTGGCAGACTTGGAAACGCACACGGGCCGTTCTACCCTGTCCTATGGGATCGTTATGAGTCGGCCTGGACTTGGCGGTGGGTTTGTTTTTCTCTTTTTCTGTGTCCATTGGAGGCCCTGGTGGCTTGAAACTGCTGGCCTCGTGGTTAGTTGTGGGGGGAGGTCAGATGCTTACAGACATCCTCCTGAAGGCAGTTAGTTGCAGGTAGGCCCATTGCTGCTGTTCAAGGACAATGGACAGGCCCTGTAGGTGGAGTTCACACCCTACTGATAATGGTCTCTATCAGTTGAGCCAGGAACAGGTCAAACCAGCTCTGTGACATCCAAAGTTAAGCTGCCATCCTAAATCTAGGCTCTACCCATCTTGTCACCATTGTCACCCCCAATCCCTCCTCTTCCTATTGTGTGTATATCCCTAGACTGCCCCCTCTCATTGCTGTATAACCTATAGTGCAACCCCTTCCTGTGACATGTCTTTACCTGTAATTAGTGGGCTTGCATGCCCCCCAAAAGTATATAGGCCTGGGTTAGCAATAGAGAGCTCTCTCACCCCATCGCTCGCTCGGCTCCCCCTCTCATCTTCCGTCATCACTCCCCTGTTCCCTTTGCCCTCCTTCCCTTCCCCCTCTCTCCACGTGGACCACCAAGCGTGGCTGAGGTGAGCAATGCTACCATGATGTGTCTGGCTGCATTATTGTAATATCTCTTTATCTCTCATGCTCTTCTTGACTTTTAATATACACACATCTCAACCATGCAATTGTGCTTACTAAACCTGAGACTGGAGGTGGGGGACTGGCCCCCCATCCTCATACTACAGTTAGTAGCCCAGCGTGTGACTCAAGATGCCATCAGAGCCATAACCGAAAGACTGTAACTTGAAGATAATAAAAAAAGATGGGGAAAAAAAGGATGCTACCCTTCAGACGGATTAAAACCGCAATGTAAAGTATATTGTATATATTTTGGTTTTCTAATATGTAATTTAATATATAAATTTAAAAATGTAAGTATATTTTACCACAATTAGAAAAAAAACGGCGGACAATAACACGTGTTGGCCAGGATGTAGCGAGATTGGAACCCTCACACCCTGCTAGTGGGAGTATAAAATAATGCCACCACTTTGAAAACCTAACTCGTTGGGACTTGGAACCCGCCCGGGGGCTCAAGATGCCCCTGCCCTTCTCTGCTCTCCCTTCCCTCCCAGGAGTTCCCTCCCCGCCTCAATAAAGCCTTTCTCAGCTTCAAAAAAAAAGAAAAAAAAAACAGTTCCCTACAAAAGTAAACATAGAATTACCATATGATTCATATGCTATCCCTCAGTCGATATACCCAAGAGGATTGGAAAGCATACTGTGTAAGAGAGAACTTTATATCAAGGAGCAATTGAACATCAAGAAAACATCCCAGCCTGGTCCAGATCGAGTCTGATATTAGCCCATAGATCCAATACCAGGCTATAAATTCCTCTTCAGACTCACACAACACATGCAATGACACTGAATGCAGGAAGATCACAGGCCAGTGGGTGTGGAGTCTTGTGGATCCAGTGGTGGTGAAAACATCTCAGCGCTGGCGTGGGTCTCCACGTGGCTCCAGGGCTCTGGGTCTGTCAGCATAGCTCCACGCCTCCAGTGAACTGTTTATCTCTGTGGTGCCTCCAAATGAGGTCATCAAGCTGCAACCTGATTGACAGGGTAGACTCCACCCCTTCACTCTTAATAGTCTCAAATTGACACCAGATTACGTAACTACCACATATACATTCACATAGGGAGTGGTACCTGAGAGTTCCGAGCAGCATTGCCACAGGGGTGGAAACAAGCTGAATATACTCAGTTCGTAGATGGATAAGCCAAATGTGGCATGTCCCCCTGGAGGACCATGGCTCCGTCCAAGGATAATAAAGGACTGTGATCTGCTACACGTGGGTGGACCCAGAAAGCAAACAAGCCAACCACACACAGGCCGTGTGGTGCATGTCCCCGTTTATAGGCAGTACCCAGAGTAGGCAAATACATAGCGATTTGTAGAGTCCAATTTTAAAAGGAGATGAGTGCTTTTAAGGAGAGGGAGAGACCGGGAATGGCTGCCAATGAGCATGAACTGTCCTTTTTGGTAGTAAAGAAGTTCTGGAATGAGGCAGTGGTGATAAGTTCACACAACCTTGAAAAGACACTGCCCCTACCAGGTGATACACTGGAAAAGGAAGCAGCTTGTGTATGAATTTTATCTCAATTTTTTTTAAGTCTGTGCAAAAGATTAGATGAATTGCTGTGTGTTGGTCCCCGCTCTGCCCCTCCCACGTCCCCCACCTTTTCCCTCAGATTTGAGGAGCATAGATGATCAGCCACACACACACACACCCTCCTCCCCTCTGCCGGGGCCTTCCATTGTCATGAGAGGGTGTGTGAACTGTGGGGAAGAGCTGAATTCCACATTTCAGACCAGAGGGTTTCGGACCTCAGAGTGGGGAAGAGACAGACGAGACCAAGGAAAGGCTCTACGTTCTCCTTGGATGATGAGAGGAGGGGGCTGATGGAAGGGGCTCTGCGTTCTGCTGCGTGCTCTGTGACCGGCTCGGGCACGCAGAGCACCTGGGTCCCATCGGCCTTTACTCGCCAGTGCTTGGCAGCTACACCGGTGTCCTCAGAGATGCTGAGGGACAGACGTTTGTCCTCGGCATCACTGTGGCGCAGGGAGGGAGTGGCACCCAGGTGACACAGAGGCCTCAGGGGCCCTGAGCAGTGAGGAAGACTCCGCCCATCCATGTAGAAAAGAAGTGACCATCAATAAAATGACAGTGCCAAGCAGCGACAGAAGAGCCATCTCTGGCAACTCATGTCCGAGGACATTGTGAGCGTAGCCTAAAGGAAGGAGAAAGCCCTTCTGCAGGCAGCAGTCCAGGAGGGCTTCACTGAGGAGGTAAGATCCCAGCAGACTCGTGAGAGGAAGAGGCTGGGAGCGCATGGAAGCCCATGAGACCCAGGTGGGGCCTCCAGGGAGCCTCTGTGGGGCAGTGCAGGGCAGCTCCTGGAGCCTGCTAGGGCGCTGGGGTGGCCCTAGGAACATCCTGCAGAAAGTACCGAGGGCCCCAGGCCTCCAAGAGACCTGCTTCCCGGTTCCCAGGACAGTGCCTGGCCTTTCTTCACGGAGCCCCCGGCCTCATGCTGTCTTGTTGTGTCTCCTCTCCTAGGACCACACCCGTGTGGTGAGCCCCATCATCGACGTCATCAGTCTGGATAACTTTGCCTACCTGGCAGCATCTGCTGACCTTCGAGGAGGTGGGTCCTGCTCCCTGGGGAGCATCTCTAGACCTGAAGTGAGAGAGGCAGGTGAGGGCAGGCAAAGGCCTGGTGTGGTACTCTCTGTCCCACGCATCCCTGGCCTCCAAGGAGCTAGTGAAGAGAAAAGGAGTGGAGTTGGATGGGGACAAAAGACTAGATCTGTCATCTGCAAGCTTCCGACCTCATCAGTGGCAGGGACGGGCTAGTTTCCATCTCTTGTCCCCATCATTGACAGCCCCCTCTGAAATGCTGGCAGCTCAGCATCCATGGCCACAGTAGAAGGATATGATGTCGCAGCTGGATTGAGGATGGGAGAGGGACAGCCCTCAGCCTCAGAGTTCAGCACCTTCCAGCACATACACCCTGGACGAGAGCTGGGCCTCGGCCCTCGAACATGGCAGCTGTTAGCCATTGGAAGAAACAGTAGTAGTTCAGTGGTAGAATCTCACTTTCTACCCAGGAGACCCATGTTCGCATCCCGGCCAATATACTTCTGCACTGCCAACAGCCATCCCTCATGGGAGGCTTGTGTGTGACTGCAGTGCTGAGCAGATTTTGGCAGAACTCCTAGACTGACAGAATAGAAAGAAAAGTCGGGGGACAGTCTTCCAAACACCAGCCCAAGAAAACCCCACGGGTCATGTCCCAGTTGTCTGGTCCGTAACGCATCCCCAGATCGCCCGGAACCCCGGTGGGGCTGTATTCTATCGTGGTTGGGCTCCGGTTGGGAGCTGATTCAGTGGGGACTACCAGCCGTGAGAAGCCATGCTCAGTCATGGAGACCTTGAGACGTGGCTGATCTGAATGGAGAGCGAGTGACCGTCGAATCTAGACCGGATTTCGAAGGCTTTGCATGGAGGGGTGTAAAACATTGCATTCAGAATCTGTATGTTGATGACATGCTCAGAAGATAATAGGTTGAGCTCCTGGATAGACCTATCATGTTCTTTAAACTGCTTCTGTGAATTCTTTTTGCTTTTTGAAAGTGGCTCCTAGAAAATCTAAAATTACATCAGTGGCCCATGTGTGTGGACTCAGGTGAGCAAACCCGGTCTTTAGGAGGCTCTGGTCTGGACACGAGAGCTGCATTGCCCACGGAGTGGACAATAGCTGCGTGTGCTTACTTAAATGTCAATGAGTTAAAATGATAGAAAGTTTAAAATACAATTCCTGGATCCTACTAGCCACACCCCTGCGCTCAGCAGCAAATACGATTATTGTCACCCCACTCCGCATGACCCCATGCGACAGATAGAACTGCCCCGTGGGGCTTTCTAGGTTCCCATCTTTATGGGGGCAGACCACCAGGTCTTCCTCCCGCATTGCCGCTGGGTGGGTTTGAACCATCAGCCTTTCAATGAGCAGCCAAGTGCTTCACTGTTGTGCCATCATGGCTGCTTGTGAAATGAAGCTTGCGCTGCCGTGCCGGACCGTACCACACGGAACATTTCCATCGCTGCGTCGAGTTCTAGTGGAAAGTGCTGCCCTGGAGGATCAGCTGCTGGGAGCTAGTGGGCATGGTGGGTCTCTCCTTTGGAACCTGGACTCCTCAGAAGTGGACAGAGATCTTCGTTAGCGTCCCTGGGAGGTAGTCTAAAGAGAAGCAGGCCTCTCCCGTTTGAGAAAGCACCACAGGGCCTTTCCACCCGCTGGGCTTCCATTTCTCCAGGTCTCTGCATGGATCCGTCCGTCATTCAATTTGGAGAATGCCTGAGACTTTCCCGAATGAGTGTCCTTTGGGAACAGCATGACACCTTTCCTTTCCCTAGTTCTTATTCGGCTCTTGTTTCCTGGGACTGACCTGTTAGCCACCCTGTTTTCATCTCTTGGTCTCAGTCCTGCTGGTGAGATCACAGACTCCCCGAGGGCAGGGACTCTTGTCTTCGCATTTGAAAAGGGGACTGGCGGTGGGGAACTCCAAGAGAAAATGAGAGGTGGCAAAGTGAGGGGAGTCAGCCTGCCCAGGGGCCTCTGCCCTGAACCCCACCTTCAACCTGCTCTGTCCCTCAGGATTCGACTGGAGCCTGCACTTCAAGTGGGAGCAGATTCCTCTTGAGCAGAAGATGAGCCGGACAGACCCCACCCGGCCCATCAGGTCAGGCTGCTGCGGGGGCTTCCTTCCTGACTTAGAGGGCTGGGTGGTTCCTGGGGGCCATCTCCATCCCCCGGGGTTCCTGAGGGTGCATGGCCTAAGCACAGACTCTGTTCTTAGGGACAGAGAGGACAGAGGCCACAGGGACGGTTGAGGGGCGAGGAGCTGTCCCAGGAACGCTGCAAGGAGGGAGTGCTGGGGGGAATCACGGGGCCATCGAAAGGAGCTCCTGCTTCTAGAACCGTTCCTCTCCTGCTCCTAGGACGCCAGTCATAGCCGGAGGGATCTTTGTAATCGACAAGTCCTGGTTTAACCACCTGGGAAAGTATGATGCCCAGATGGACATCTGGGGAGGAGAGAATTTTGGTAAGTTGGGAAATAATGCCGGGAAGCCCGCAAAAGCCAGCAGCTGTGGAAGACGGGGTAGGGGTGGGGGCGCTGTCAGGGGAGTGCAACCCCAAGACTCCCCCTTAAAGGGAGGCATCGGAAAGCAGCGGGGTGGCACCCCCGTCAGTGGTGGAACACTGGCTAACCCCAGAAACGAAATCAGGCGATCCGGTGGGGTTCCAGCTCCGGCTCCTAGTTTTCACTGTGCTAACAGCTGGTAAACCAGCAGAACACACACTTTCTGTGCCGAAGACCAGTGCTGTGAAGGAGTTACACATAATGGCTCCTTTAATCCTCACAGTAAAATAAGGACTATTACTATCTCCACTTTGCAGATAGAGAAGCTGAGGCCCAGAGCAGCTGAACCTCTTGTCCCAGAAACACAGAGCGAGTAAGGAAAGGGATACAGGTGCCGGGGGAGCGTGTGTGAAAGAGCAGGCAGATGGACCACGGCTGCATCTTCCACACGTGTCAGCCTTCCTACCCCACAACTGTGTGTGAGCTGAAAGCCCGAGGGGTGGGCAGTAGAGGGTGGTGGTCAGATGGCCCGAGTGCAAATCCAGTTCGTACCCGCTACAAGCTGTCTGGTCCTGGGCAGGTTCAAACCCCAATGCGCCACGTTTCCTTGAAGAGGCTGTGAGACGCCCGGAAGGAGAGCCGGCCGGCAGCTGTCACTGTGAGGCCCAGAGGCAGCTGTGAAGAAGATGGCAGCCGGGGCAAATGTTGTAGGAGGGGCCTCAAGAAGGCAGAGGCACATATACACACACACACACACACACACACACACACAGCTCAGCATGCTGTGCCAGGGATAAGGAGTACTATGGGCAGACGGGTCACAGGGTGGGTTGGAGCCTGGGCTCCAGTGTGTCGCGCCTCTGGGTCAGTCAGTCCCCCTCTTTGACCCTGTTTCATTTGCAAAGTGGTCAGTGAAGGCCTCTGGGGAGGGTCAGATTGTCTAGAGTGTGTATGTCAGCCAGGCTCCTGGCAGGACAGACTGCACTTTAGGCAGGGTATCGGGTACAGGAAGCCACAAGAGCCGGTGTGGGCCTGCTGACTGGTGGGATGGGCAGTCATCCCGGGGTCCACATAAGCTGTGTGGACCTAACGGAAGAGTGCATGTGCCGCACAGTCTGGATGGGCAGGTGTAGGATGCCAGGGACATAAATGCCTCTTATTCTCCCCCACCCAGACCTCTTGCTGGTGCCCCTGTTGGCTCAACTTGTCATCCCAGTGACACCGGAAGGGACCCCAGAGGCACAGTCCCCTGCGGCCTCCCAGGTGCAGGGCACGGTGGCAAAGAGGAGTGAGAACACCCACGACAGGGTCGGTCCTCTGCCCTCTCTCTGCCTGGCTTGCCCTCCAAGAGGACCCCGCCTTCCCCCCCATTTCCATTCCCATCCTGCCCAGCTTCCTTGTGAAGTCAGGCTGGTGGTTTGGCACCCATCTGACAGATGAGAACACCGAGGTTCAGTGGGGGACACTCCACACCTGGCTCCTTTGACCAGAACGACTGACGTGTTGTTGAATGTTATCAAAGTCCAAGTCGGCGCCTCTGAGATGCTGGGAGCCCGACTCCTTTTCCTCTGGTCTGCTCCAGAAACAGGGCAGATAAGCCGGGTCAGTCCCACCCCCAGGCAGCCAGCTGGAGTGGACCCGACTGAGGCTCTCCTCCCCCGCTGTAACTTCATTCTAGGAAACTATCTCCAGGCTGCCCTTTGGAGACATAAGTCCTGGGAACTGGGGTGTAGTGACCCTTCCAGTCTGACCCCCTTTCATGTGTTTGGGGCCGCGGGGACCTCCTTTGTGTCCCAGTCTCCGCCTGAAGGCAGCTTTGGCAAAACCCGCTTCCTGGAAGGGCTGGGAACCTTGCCTTCTCCTTCGCCTCCTTCGCTGCCTTCGCTGCCTTTTCTGGGCGGCCAGGCTGCCGGCATCAGCCAGCCAGCTCCATGCTCTGCTGGAGGCGAGGGCACCGTGGTGGGGGAGCTTGAAAGGTGAACTCGAGTGGTTCTGGGAAGGGTTTTGTTTCTCCGAAGAAACTCAGAGGGATAGCGGACAGGCGTTCCACCGCTGGGAGCAGTTTTGAGCGGTGAGACGCCTGTGGCTGTCAGGTTCACACCTCTCCTTTCCTTCCTTTGTTGGAGCCCAGGAGATGCCCAAACTGAGGCTCCTTCCTGTGACCCCCAAGAGAGCCAAACACAGGCTCCCAGAAGCCACCAGGAGCCGGAGGGGTGGTGGCAAATGTGAAAACCTTGTTTGTTTGTTTTTTAAGTAGAGGTCAAATTTGCATCTTATAAAATCACGTACAATCAGTGACAGTCCATTAGCACTGTTGTGTACCCCCACTTCTAGCTGCTTCCAAACCACTGTCATCAGCCCCCAAAGAAAACTCCATCCAATAAGCAGTCACTCCTTACTCCCCTTCCCCACAGTCCTTGGCAACCAGCAGCCTAGCGCTGTCTCCATGGATTTACTGACTGGGGTAGTTCATAGAAATGGGATCACACGGTGCGATCCTTTGTGTCTGGCTGCTGTTACTGCGCTGAAAGTTTTCAAGGCTGGTGCACATGGTGGAAGGCAGCCCGGCCTGACCCCTATTGCGTTGTATGTGTGCACCTCATGGACGTCTCCGTGGGTTTGTGGACACATGGTGGGTTCCTCCTTTGGACTAAGGTGAATGGGGGTGCCAGGAACATCCGGGTTCTCGTGCTTGTTTGCACCCTTGTTTTCAGTTCTTTGGAGCGTGCCCCTAGGGAGGGACGCACCGGCTTGGATGTGCCATAGTTCGGTTTGACTTTTTTTTTTAATTATTAAATAATTTTATTGGGGGCTCTTACATCTCTTATCACAATCCATACATTCACCCATTGTGTCAAGCACATTTATACATATGTTGCCATCATCAATTTCAAAGCATTTTCTTTCTAGTTGAGCCCTTGGTATCAGCTCCTCATTTTCTCCTATTCCCTCCTTCCGTCATGAATCCTTGATAAATTAGATTATTATTTTCATATCTTACATTGTCTTCTGTCACCCTTCACCCACTTTTCTGTTGTTCATCCCCGAGAGGGGTTTATATGTCAGTCCTTGTGATTGATTCCCCTTTTCTCCCCCCACCTTCCCCTTATCCTCCTGGTATCTCCATTCTCCTTGTTGGCCCTGAAGGGTTTATCTATCCTGGATTCCCTGTGTTTTGGGCTCTTATCTGTAGCAGTGTGCATACTCGGGTCTAATCCGATTTGTAAGATAAAACTGAGGTCATGATAGTGGGGGGAAGGAAGCATTAAAGAAAGTTGAGGAAAGTTGTGTGTTTCATCGGTGCTATACTGCACCCTGACTGGCTCATCTCTTCCTTGTGACCCTTCTCTAAGGGGGTATCCAATTTTCTACAGATGGGCTTTGGGTCTCCACTCCATGCCACCCCCCTCTATTCACATTGGTATGATTTTGTCGTGGGTCTTAAATGCCTGATACCTGATCCCATCGACACCTCATGATCACACAGGCTTGTGTGCTTCTTCCATGTGGGCTTTTTTGCTTCTCAGCTAGATGGCTGTAGTATTAAGTTAAAATGGCAATGGGGAGGGGTGAGGGACCAGCCCCCACCCGCTACTACTACCCACGGATTCAGTAATCACAATTGTATGGTTGAGATATATAAGTATTATATTAAAGTCATCAAGAGCATGAGAGATATTACAATAATATAGTCAGACACATTACATGGTAGCATTGCTCACCTCAGCCCCGCTTGATGGTCCTTGTGGGGGGAACCCGGCCATGAGAGCAGGAGCAGCCTCGGAACCCAAGAACCAGGGAGCCTCTCCTGGCCCGAGAGCCAGAGAGGGCCCCGGGAATTGGGGAGAGCCTTTCGGGCTCCAGAGAGAGCTTCCTCTTTATTGCTAACCAATCATTATATATCACTTTAGGGGGACATGATTATAGACTCACACGTCACAGGAAGGGGCAGTACAATAGGCATACACATTGTAAGAAGGACATCTATGATAGGCATAAGCGTAACAGGAAGGGGATGAGCTAGGGGTGTGCCCATAGGAATGGGAAGGTCTAGGGGTATACATGTGACAAGATGGGCGGACCCTAGATTCATAATGGCTACCTAACCTTGGTCATTCTTGGGCGGGTTTGACCTCTCTGGTGTCTCCTACAAGGAAACAGACAATTACTATCCTTATCAGAAGGGAGTGGGCCCTACTTGTTGTGGGATAAACAGTGGTGTTTACTTGTTCCAGATGTCTGATACTCTCAAGGAGAATGACTCCCAATCCACTCTTGATGACCTCCAAGTGTACAGTCATTCTCAAGCAGCTAAGTCTGGTACATATTTGGGGGAGACAACTTGGGAGAAGTCCTTCTGTTTCCCATAGATGGCTGCTTATTTATTTATTTCAAGGCTTTAAGGACCCAGACGCTATCTTTTGATAGCTGGGCACCATCAGCTTTCTTCACCACATTTGCTTATGCACCCATTTGTTTTCAGTGATCATGTTGGGAAGGTGAGCATTCCAGAATGCCGGATTATTAGAACAAAGTGTTCTTGTGTCGAAGGAGTACTTGATTCGAGGCCCAATGTCCATCTGCTACCTTAATTCTTAACATGTAGATATGAGTACATAGATCTATTTCTGTTTGACTTTTTGAGGAAACACCCAGCGGCTCTCCACGGTGGCGTTGATGCCACCTTGGATCTGACCAGCTGGGTGTGAGGGTTCCAACTGTGCTACCTCCACTCAGATTCTTGTGGTGGTTTTTCTACTGGAGTCCCCTGGGGCGGGGGTGGGGTGGGGGGGGTGAAGTGATACCTCATGGTGTTTGGGCGGAACATCTTTTTGCGTGTTTGTTGGCCATTTCTACATCTCCTTGTTTGAATACTTTGCCCATTTGTCACCAGCCAGGTGTGCTTCTGCAGGCCCGAGCCACCAAGGCAGAGGCTGGGGGAAGTGACAGGAGAAAGCTTCACTTTGGTTGACCAGGCAGGGAGCAAGGCGGAGATGAGAGTCACCCAGGCAAGCTCCCCCCAACATGGGGGAAGGTTTGCAGTTTTGTGTGTGTACACCAGGAAGTAAATGACAGGGGTTATGAATATGTGTGTTAGTCTGGGTTGACTAGAGAAACAAATCCAGAAACATTCATATGTGTATAAGAAAGAGCTTTATATACAAAGGCAATTGAATATTTGAGAAAACATCTCAGCCCAGTTCAGATCAAGTCTATAAGTCCGATATTAGCCCATTATGCCCTATACCAATCTATAAAGTCCTCTTTGAACTCACAAAACACATGCAGTGACGCCGAATGCAGGAAAATCACAGGCCAGTGGGTCTAAGGTCTTGTAGATCCAGTGGTGGTGTAAGTATCTCAGTGCTGGCAGGGGTCTCCACATGGCTTCTTTAGCTCCAGATCTCTAGCATAGCTCCATGTGTCTTGTCAATGGGAATGTCTCCCAGGGAGTAAACGAGTGTCCCGCCTCCAGTGAGCTATTTATCTCCTTAGCACCTCCAAATGAGGTCATCAAGCTGCAACCTGATTGACAGGCTGAACTCTACCTCTTCACTCGTAAGTCTCAAATTGACAACAGGTTATGTCACTACCACATGATGTAACAGATTTCCGAGGGTCCTGAATGTACATTAGGGCAGGGTTAGGATTCTTAACCAGGAAACGACTTAGGGGGGGGCCTCTCTCTTTCAAATGCCCCAGTTGGTCAGGTGATATCTTTCCAGCCACGTTTGGCTCCTTGGCCAAAGTTCTTTTGTTCGAGAGTCCCCTGTAAATGGTGACTGTCTTCCTGTGCCTGCTCGGTTAGGATCCAGACACGCTTGCCGTGGTGAGCTACTGTGCTGGGAGGAAAGAGCTCAAAAGAAACAGGCTATCAGGAAGGAAAACAGATGAGGTATATGTATGTATGTCAGCATCCTGTGGTGACATCTTATCTATCCTGTGGGCAGGGTCATTGGGCAAGCTGCAGGATTTACAACGTTACATAGGACTAAGCTGGTTGGGGAGTGGTTTTTCCAGCTGCCCAGATGGAGTCTATCCCGACTCATGGTGATCCAACAGCTTAGAACTGTCTCTTAGCGTCTCCAAGGCTGTGAGTCTTTATGGCAACGGCTGCCTCATCATCCTCCCGTTGAGTGGCTGATGGGTTCAACCTGTCCACCTTTCAGTTAACAGCCCAACAGCTACCCCACTCTGCCACAAGGGCTCGCTTAGGCATCCTTTGAAAACACCTCAGATGGCCTCGCTCCTCTGCACAGAATCTGCAAGGGCTCCAATGTTGCCCTGAGCCAAAAGCCAGGGTGCTTACACTGGTCACCAGGTGAAATTGTTCCCTACAGATTTGTAAGGAAGCACAAATAAGCCCATGCTTAGCCTGCTTATCCGGGAAACCACCAGGAGGTGGGTCTTCCTCCTCCCTCCATCCCTCCCTCTTTGCTGGTCCCTGGGAGAACACCTCTTGAGCACCCCTGCCAGGTAAGAGCCTCCAGGCCTGACCAGGACCCCAATGCGCCTGCAGGCAGAAGCAGCCCGCTGGGAAACCAGCTGAGGGGCCAAGGCTATCACTTAGGAGAAAATGGATTTTGAAACAGTAACAACAATTGGGTTAGGAGTTTCTGGGACAGGAAAGAGATGCTTCAAAGTCCTATCAGACAGTGTTCCAACCGCGGGGCTCCTTGGAAAGAAAATGGGGAGTTGGAAGAGAGTGATGTGAGTTTTCACCAGCTGCCAACAAAGTGGGTGCTTCCTGGAAATGGTGATGGGGAGTGGAGGAGACCCAGGGGGCTAACTTGTGATGCTCCCTTCTGGGGAGCAGAATGGCTGTTTTTTGTCCCCTGGATTCCACCAGGAGCCTCAGGGAAAAGGTCTCTGCAAAAGGTCTGTCGGCTCCACCGCCACCATCCAAAGGGAACAGGTGTGACGAGGACAAGCAGGGACCCTGTACGTGCACCCGCCCGGGCAGGATGGCGGGCGCTTGGGGCCCAGGCAGAAGGAGGCCAGCTGGACCAGCCTGCGGCTTCCCGCCTCACAGGCAACCAGAGCTGGCGGACCAGCAGCTGTGTCTTTCTCAGCCCCGAGCACTTTCTGGGCAGAGGCTGGGAAGGAGGCTCGTGTGTCTGCCGTTTTCTTTTACCTCGTGGGTCACTCAGAGCTTCCGTCACCGCTCCCTCAGGGCTCCAGTGTGGGGCTGTGTATGTGTGTGGAGGGGCAGGGAGGGCGCGTACACACACATGTGCATGGAGTGACCTTCAGAAAGATGTGCCAGGAGCAAATAGATCCCATTTAAATCGGCCTGGGAGCTTCTACCCCATCGTGTCTCCAATCAAAGAGTGGAGAAGCTGCCCCTTCCCACCTCTGCTCAGAGGGGACTTACCTGGGCGGGTGCCTTCTCCCCTGCTGACAGCTTCTGTCCCCCGCAGAGCTCTCCTTCAGGGTGTGGATGTGCGGAGGGAGCTTGGAGATTGTCCCCTGCAGCCGGGTGGGTCACGTCTTCAGGAAGCGGCATCCCTACAACTTCCCCGAGGGCAACGCCCTCACCTACATCAGGTAGGTCCTACTGGAAAGAGCACTGGATCAGGAGCCAAGACTCCTAGGTTTTAGAGCCGTGCCCCCTGCTGCACAAAGTTCTTCACTTTGGATAGCCACTCCCCATCTCTGGGCCTCAGTGTCCCCCTTCCCTCCTCCCCCCGAGGGGTACTTCCAAGAGTAGAAGGATGAAGGTGGAGTGTTGCCACGGAGGCTCTCTTGACCTTGTCCAGGAGCATCTCGGACCAGATGATGGCTGGTCACTGTGCCTCATTCGTGGTCATGGCCAGTGTCCCAACCCTGACTTGGCCGTGCAGTCGCTCTTCCAGGTCCCCCTGTCTCAAGGGGAATGGGAAGGTCTTGGCAGCAGACCATCTCACGGGTCCCCTCCTGATGGAGGGAGGGAGGGGAGATGGGGGGTGCCATGAGCATCCCCCCTCGCCAGGATGAGGCTGCACCTGCCGAGTCCTGGGCTCCCAGGCGCCAGGGAACAGCATGGAGGTGCAGCTTCCACGTCCTGCTCGTGCTCGGCTTCCCATTGCACCCTCCTTTTCCTGTTCCCATAGCTATATCAAGGTAGCAAGAGAAAGCAAAACGCATTGCCATGGAGACGACGCTGACTCAGCACCGCTATCGGACGGGGCAGAACTGCCCCTGTGCGTTCCCAAGATTGACGCCTTACAGGAGTAGAAAGCCCCGCCTTTCTCCACAGAGCAGCTGCTGGTTTTGAACTGCTGACCTTGCTGTTAGCAGCCCTATCAGTAACCCACCCATGATGCCGCCAAGGCTCCTAAAAGTAATAATACCAGAAAACTAAAGCAGCAGAGATAGCAATTCCAGATACAAGTTTAAAACAGAACCAAAAACCCTCACTACCATAAAGCTGATTCTGACTCATAGTGACCCTGTGAGACAAAATCAAACTGCCCCTTTTGGGTTTCCAAGACTTTACATTTTTACAGGCATAGACAGCCTCTTCTTTCTACTGTAGAGCCACTGGTAGGCTCAAACCACCGGACTTGTGATTAGCACAATGGTCACTATGTAGCCCATGTGCCAGGTAGGAGTTTCGTATCTCTCTTATAGACAGAATAGATACACACACATCTGTATCCACATTACAGATTTCATTTTTACTCCTGATGCTAGAGATGAATAGAAAGGGGAAATCTGTTTTACTGAGTCTTATCCCTGTGTATCCCGCGGTCTGTCCAGAAGTAGCTACAAACCAGATGGCTGCTGACCAACCCAAGTCTTTCCACACATATTTGTACGCCCGTAGGCTGTGTGTTTGCACATGGATACAAATAGGGTCATGCTGCTCCTATGTCTTTTCTCTGGGGCATGCTGCTTTTACGTTCCACGCGCACAACCTCCCAGGTCAGTGCACACGAGCCTTCCCATTCTTTTTCAGGGCTGCCTGGTAACCACTCTCCCACCGTGGATGTCGCTCACCACGCTCCCACCGCGGCTGTCGCTAACCACTCTCCCACCGCGGCTGTCGCTAACCACTCTCCCACCGCGGCTGTCGCTAACCACTCTCCCACCGCGGCTGTCGCTAACCACTCTCCCACCGCGGCTGTCGCTAACCACTCTCCCACCGCGGCTGTCGCTAACCACTCTCCCACCGTGGGTGTCGTTAACCACCGGGGCTGTCGCTAACCACTCTCCCACTGCGGGCACTTGTGTGGTCTTCAGCGTCTTAACAAGTCTCGTTGTGCGTGCCCTCTGTGCTCCGGCATAGGTATTTTCTTTGATTCCTAACAGTGGAGAGTTAAGAGAATATACATGTCTACACACTTGGATGAGAGTAGACAGATTGTCCTACCCAGAATGGGTCCTAATTGAGACCAGCCCAAGCCGGTATAGACGCCGGCCCTGTGCTGCCCAGAGCTGCTCCTGAGCCGGATCTTCATTGTGCTCCTCCCTGTCTTTCAGGAACACCAAGCGGACTGCTGAGGTGTGGATGGATGAGTACAAGCAGTACTACTATGAGGCCCGGCCCTCAGCCATTGGGAAGGCCTTTGGCAGGTGGGCCCCTTCCTGTTCCCCCGCTGGCTCCTCTCACCCACACTAGCACGTCCTTCACAAAGTCAGAGGGGTGCTGGGAACCTCCCACACGCTCTTCACGACTGAGCGCCCACTCCGCTGGGCTCTTCCGGGACCTGGGAGGTGGGCTGGGATGGGGTGGGGGGTCAGTCACACAGAGACCAGACTCTGGTCCTTGAGGAGCCTGTGAGCTCACAGGGGAAATGAAGACAGAAGCCTTGTTTCTGAAAGACTGGCCCGGTCACACGTCGTCTGTGGATATGCTCGGTGGGGGGTTGGGGGTTGAGGGGGGCGGTCCACAGAAAACACTAGGGGTTTTCTTTCAAAGTCAGTTTGTGATCTGTTAACCGGTTTTCCTGTCGTGGCCAGTTGCCAAAAGCCAAGCCAAACTCCCTGCCATCACGTCCACTGCAGGGTTTCGGAGACTAAGTCTGTACAGAAGATCACCTCATCTTTCTCCCCCAGAATGGTAGTTGGGGTTGAACCGCTGACCTTGAGGTTTGTAACCTAATGCCTCGCCCACAGCAGCACCAGGACAATTAAAGCATTTCAGATGGGTCATAAAGTCCATTTAGTGCAGCGGTTCTCAACCTGTGAGTCGTGATCCCTTTGGGGGTCAAACAACCCTTTCACAGGGGTCGCCTGATGCATAACAGTAGCAAAATGACAGTGATGGAGAAGCAACGAAAATAATATTTTGGTTGCGGGGTCACCACCACATGAGGAACTGTGTGCAAGGGTCACGGCATTAGGAAGGTTGAGAACCACTGGTTTAGTGGGTTGTGACCACCGTCAGAACAGAGAGAGAGATACAACACTTGTCTGGATTGGTACTAAACGGCCGAGAAAACAGCAGAGCTGGTCTCAGTGAGGAGTGTGGCTTTGTGAAACTCGTCTTACATTATGTGTGGCGCTGCTGGAGTCGTGTCACCTGGATCACATGAGGATGTGCTGATGTATCCCTGGAGATGATGGTCAAAAAGGGAAGGAAAAGCAGATAGTGGAGGTGGCACAGAGCGGGGCGGGGCGGGGCTTGGTTTGCTGTACACAGTTAGACACCATCTATGGCAGCTCACAGCTGGGGCCCTGCTGGGTCACACTTTGAAGCCAGCAGTTTGAATCCACCAGCTGATCCAAGGGACCAAGACGAGGCTTTCTGCTACCGTGGAGCGCTGCCTTTTCAGAGACACCTGCGGCAGCCCTCGCCCTGTGGGGTCACTGCGTCAGCGTCCACTTGATGGCAGTGAGTTTGCTTGGCTTTTTCACAACCGAGGCCTCACGCAGGCAGAAATCGTTTGAGATCCTCCTGAGAGGTGAGTTCTGAGCAGGACTTTGAGAACCAGGTGGAGGAAGAGCCGGGAGACTGGGGGCAAACTTGCAGGTCAGATAGGACATAAGGCAAGTGACCAGTGCTGGGCAGGACAGCCTCCTGGGCTCCGGGTCCTTGACTGCAGAGGGCAGGCGGCAAAAGAGAGCCAGCCAGCCAGCTCGGGCCTGGGGGCTGTCCCTGTGTTGGGCCTGAGGAGGGTGAAGGCCTCCTGGCCCATATCAGAGGCCAGAGCCTGAGTCTGGCCTTCCCCCTCAGTGTTGCTACCCGGATTGAGCAGCGGAAGAAGATGAACTGCAAGTCCTTCCGCTGGTACCTGGAGAATGTGTACCCCGAGCTCACGTGAGTGCCGCACCCTCTCCCTCTGCCTGTGCATCCCTCCACCTGGGGAGTCGGGGGTGGTGGTGGGGGTAGGGGACACTAGCAGGAGAGGCTTGGGCGACATCCACCCACCCCCCACCCCCCCCACTTCCTTCAGTCTCGCATCCCAGTTAGTCTGGCGTTTTCCCGGCTGATGGTGTTTATTTCTTGGGAAGGCTCTGACCGGGTCAATGCCACAGCACCAAGTGTTCTCAGTTAGGAGTGGATGGAGCTGCGTTTTTAACAGACCGGGTCTGTGTAGCAAAGGCCACAGGCACATGCTTCCCCTCTGGCCCTCCTGGGACTTTCTCCCAAGGAATTAAAGCCAATGAGGCAAAAAGCTGCTGGCAAGTATAAGATAGCCTACTGGGGCCTCTTTCAGCTGCTGTGAGCAAAATAAAACAAGAAGCAACTTTGCAGCAGGGCTGAGCTTAGGAACACCATGTATCAGTCTAAATAAATACTGTGCAGCCACTGATAATCTTAATCATAAAACTGTACAAGCATCAGGAATTGTTTGCTCTAGCAGATGAGAAAGGAGAAGGCAGGCGGGGGTCCCCTGGGGTTGTAGTTGCCCCAAGTCTAGCCTGAACAGCAGCTGTGCTAGCTAAGCAGGAATGGATTAGGGGTGGGAGCGGGAGATGCTCAGGGTCCTGGGTCTAGCCACACAGTTCCCTTGCTGGCCTCTGGCAGCTCTCAATTGCAGCATCCCCTCTTTGTAGGCAGACTTTTCCTGACGGCTGCAAACGGGCTGCGCCACCGCCCTCCCCTACACACCCTGCTTTATTTCCCCGTCAGCCTCAGCACCTTCTCCAACCAGCCAGCCAAACCCTCTGCCATCCAGTCAGTGCTGGTGCCGAGCGTCCCCTGGCTTTCCGAGACTGTAGCTAGAGGAAGTCCAGTCTTTCTTCCTGGGACCTGCTGGGGGTTTTGAACTGCCGACACCTGTAGCATGGTCTGTATCAGCCCAGTTAGGTTTGTTGTCCTCCTCCCTACCCACTCCCTGCACTCGACCATAAACTCCGCAGAGGTAGAAGGTTTTATCTGCCCTGCTAATGGCTTTTCTCTCTCTAGGCCAGGCCTGCCGTAAACTAGGAACCCAATAAGTAGCATTGACTGAATACATTACATAATCAATACATCTAAATAAAGACTTTGAAATTAGCATCCTCCCACCTCGGTCACCTTGGGAGACTGGGGTCATTCCACCGCAGACAGCTTTCTCCCAAGGATGAGCCCAAGGCTTTCCGGAACATTCCTCCTCTTGGACAGCGGCCCCCTGAGCTCAAACATCCTCAGAAGGAGGCACATCTTTGTCCTTTGAGGATAGACCGCACCTCTGGCAGGCTGTAGCCCAGTCCAGTGAATTAACCAGATGATTAACCTCGATAATCTAATTCTAGGTCCTAAATAATATGTGGCTCTAAAGTGACAAGAGGGAACTGACTTTGGGAACAATTCCCAGGGAACTGCAGGGCCATTTCAGCCACAGCAGGAGAGAGTTGGCAGGCTGGATCACCCCAGCTCCCCAGGCGACAGCTGTGAGGGAGGAACATTAATGTTTAAAAATGTAATAAATGAACAACTTCCTGAAGTGACTCCGTTTAAGGGGACTGTACTCATTCAGATGTGGTTTGGTTTGGGGTTGTTGTTTTTTCCTTGAGACACTAGGGCAAAAGGAAGGATCATTTCTATACTTTCTGGCAGAGGTCAAGCAACATTTGGATGGTGTCCATAGACTCCTGGCCTAGGCCTGGCCTGGGAGGGTGGGGAGCCTGTGGGAGGTGTCACATCCCAGTCCCCCCTCCCCACACACAATGTACCACGCATCACCTGGGGACCAAGAGCAAGACAGATTTCATAATACTTTCATAGCGATCCCAAAGCGAATTAATCACAAAGCAGGAGAATGGCTGCAGCCACCCAGGTCAGAGCGAGATGATCCGTCGCCTTCCACTTGCCCCGTCACTGTGTGCGAGTCAACAAAATGTTGCTACCTTTTTGTGATCCGGATCCCATCAGCTGGCTGACCCCAGCCAGCTCGGTTCTCAGGGTGTGGGGCCCAGAGGCGATCAACTTGTTGGTTCCAAAGGAGAGCTCTAGGCACAAATGATACCTGATTTTCTCCCAGCAGGAGCTCCTAATAGTTGTCCACTATGTGAGGTGGCTAAAGGAGAAGGCCTTTGTCACCCGGGCTGCTGCCACCCTGCTGGGCTCTGTCACAAGGTCGGCCCCAGCAGCTGACTTGGCTAGCTGCAGGGAGCAGCTAAGCAGCGCATGCCCTTCACAGCCACGGGTGTGGACAGTGTGTCGATTACGGTTCCTGAAATAGCATAGACTCTCCTGCTCACAAAGCCGTGTCTTCAGTCAGTTTTCTGACAGGTGGAAGTAGTAGACCGTCTTGAGGAAGGGACACCGATGGCTATTTCTACAAAGACATCATGAGGGCTCGCGGTGGCACTAGCTGGAAGAGATCCAGAGCGTGGGACGCAGGTGCAGACAGCTTGCCAGGGAGCTGGGGAGTGTGGTGCCGTGGACCATCAGAGAGGCTCCGGGGCTACAGGACCCCAGGGACACCTCGGGAGCTGCGACTGGTCCATATGCATCCATGGAGGCCCCGCCCATCACCACACTGAAAGCTGACCTGCTTGGCCACTGAGCACAGGGATAGGTCAAGGAAGAGATAGGAGGGTCTGGGGCAGTCTCTGGACCCTTCACTGCACTTGTGTGCATGCGCACACACACACTGCATGGTTCTCAAAGAGGACCCAGCTTACGGGGGACTTGGGGCTTGGAGGGGATGTCTGATCTCCTTGAACTTCACAAAGAGGAAAGAGACCCAAGATCAACAACTCTAAGGCTGATTTCCTATGAGGGGGAATCAAATCTTTACCAAATCTGACAGTAGCTGGCACTCTCTACTTGTCTGCTGGGTTTGGTAATCTGCTGCAATGGGCACACAGGACTCGACAGTTAGGGGAGGGAGGTTATTAGGGAAGTAACTGGCTATAAATCAGGATCAGGAATGGTTCAGGATACAGTTATTCGGTTAGGATAGCTTCTCCACTATGGTCACAGACAGGCCCCTTCTCCAGTGTCTGCCCTGCTCAGGCAAGTACTGCAAAGCTCTGCAGTTCTATTAATCAGCGCCAGGCGCACCCACTCTATCAGGAAGCCTCAGCTCAAAGGCGCCCCATTCTCTTGCTCCGTGGGATGGCACGCCCCCTGGGGCTGCCTGGGTACACAGACTGGGAAGCCTACCGCACATCGTGTACTGACCTCCCAGTTCCGCTGCTGCCGCGTCTCTGCTATGCTTTTGCCCATTGTTTCAACCTGAGCTGTCTACCCTGGGGTCCTGGGTCTCTGCCCTGGCCTCCCGGAGCAGCTCACAAGCCCCCAGTCTTCCTGTTCCCTCATTGTCCTCTGGTCACTTCTCTGTGCGCCTTGAGAGCTGACTGCATGCTGCCCTCTGACTGGGAGCCCGGGTAAACCCGGGGCAGCAGACGGAGGGCCACTCTGACCACTGCCTTTTCTTGCAGTGTCCCCGAGAAGGAAGTGCTTCCTGGCATCATCAAGCAGGGTGTTAATTGCCTAGAATCCCAGGGCCAGGACACCGCTGGTGACACCCTGCTTGGAATGGGGATCTGCAGAGGGTCTGCCAAGAACCCCCCTGCGGCCCAGGTAAGCTGCCGAGGACCTGGGGAGGGTGGGGGTAGAGCTGGAAGTATCGGGGGGCAGCGACGTTGCCCAGGAGTGGTGTGAGGGACCCCCCTCCGTTCCTTCTCCTCTTCTCTGTCCACTCCCTCCACAAACCCACCTTTCCAGGGCCCTGTAAGCTGACCCCTCTCAGTCTGTGTCTTGGGCTTGCTCTTACCACGTTTCCCATCCCCTTTGCAGCCAGCGACACAGTGGCCCCCTGCGCGCCACCTCTCTCTTCCTGAAGCGGGAAAACCGCCTTCCCGGGCTGCGTGGTGGCCAGGACTGTGCGCCTGTGCACGCAGTGGGTCCATGCACCCCACAGCAAGGCCAGTGCCGTCACTGAGCCCCCCAGCCTCCTCAGCCCCACTCCTTGGCTGTCCCGGTCTCATGTCCTGTCCTTCTCCCCAGTTCCCACCATCCATCGGTGCCTTTTCCATTGCCCTCCAGCCAGCTCGGACTCAGCTCCGCCCCAGCCCAATACTTCATGATGAAAAAGGCCAGCTTACAAAAGCTGAACAAGTTGAACCACACATCCCCGTGCACCCACCCCTGGCTGCCAGCGCTGTGAAGCATCTGCTGGTGGGAGGTGGGGGGTGTTGTTAGGGGCCACTGAGTGAGTGCCGACCCACAGGGACCTTCTGCACAACACAAGGAACACTGGAACACTGCCCGGTCCCACGCCACCCTCACAACTGACCCTCTGCCGAGTTTATCTCATTGAGAGCCTTCCTCCTCTCACGGCCCCTCCACTGCAGCAAGCATGATGTCCTCCGGTGGGGACTGATCTCTCCTGACAACGTTTCCAAAGCATGTGAGATGCAGCCTCGCCACCCTCCCCTCTAAGGAGCCCTCTGACCGTCCTTCCAAGATCCGTCTGTCCTGCTAGCTGGGGTGGTTCATCCCTCCTCTGGCCGTTAGCCTCCATTGCCGAACCTCACTTTGTGACTGGGGCCTTCTGGTCCCCTCCCACAGGCGTGGCTGTTCAGTGACCATCTCATCCAGCAACAGGGGAAGTGCCTGGCTGCCGCCTTCCCCTCCCCCGGGGCCCTGGTCGCACTGCAGGTGTGCAACCCCAAAGAAGGCAGTCAGGTAAGTCGCCTCGCTCCGCTCTACCTGGAGCCCACAGACTTGGCTCTCCGAATGTCTGAGGGGCCTGAGTTCGCATCCTGTGCTTTGGACTCAGGGCATCCTGTGCCAGGGCAGAACTGGGCTCCAGAGGGCTTTGAAAGGCTTTCCTCTGAGTTGCCTCTGGGTGGACTCAGACCTGCAACTTCAGGCTAGCAGTGGAGCGTATGAACCGTTTGCCCAGCTAGAGGCAGTGCTAACAGTTTCACATCAGTCAGCTCAACTGGCCCTCCCAGGAGCCAGCCCAGGGACAGGGTTGGCATTGACCTGGAGACAAGAGACGGGCTGGCGGATGGTGGGTGGGTGGGTGCCAGCCAAACAGAATCCCCCTCTGGGTTAGACTCCGTCTCGGGACCTCTGACTTGTCCTCTGGGGTGAAGGAATGGCCTCCTGAAAGGACCGAGGCAGCTCTGTGGGAGGGGAGGGCCTTAAAGTCTGTGTGGGATGGCTTGGGGGAGCTTCCATGAGGTTTTCCATGAGGGAGGGGTCTTCTACGCATAGGAGGGGTTATTTGCATACAGACCAAACAGAGACTTGGGCCTAACCATGACTGTACTGCTTGTTTTCTCCCTAGAAATGGAGGAGAAAAGGCTCTCTCATCCAACAGTCCGTCAGCGGGCTCTGCCTGGAGATGCAGCCTGCCCAGCTGGTGACCAACAAGTGTCAGGCGGACACCCCCGCCCAGCAGTGGCAGCTGTTGCCACACTCCTGACTGTAGCCTGGGGCCTCCTCTGTCTTTTGCATGAGACTCTGGGACTGGAAGGGGGTTAGGGTCGGGGAGCGGAAAGCGGCCTCTGTCCATCTCGTCACATTTCTCCCGGAATCATCAGCAAACACCCCTGCTGCCGCCGCCACCACCAAAGCTTGAACCAGGAGGGCGTTTGGGCCCAGGATCATGGCCCGATGCCCTCTCTGCCACCCCAGCCTTGCCCTGGGAGAGGAGATGGTCAGAATGCTGGGCTGTGGCCAGGCAGAGCTGGACAGGCGCCCTGGCCCTTGTTCTATCCTTCCCCACTTCTGGGAGTCCTCCCCACGGCGGAGCAAGGACAGAAGACCTCATGGGGGTCCAACTGGCCGTGGGGCCTCCCTGCAGTGCCGGGACAGAGGGAGAAGAGAGGGGAAGCAAGGAAGAGGTGTCGTGTCCTAAGAGATGCCAGGTCCAGCTGCGGGCTGCCCTGGTAAAGAGAGAAATGGCGGCCTCCCATTTGAAGGCAAAGGACAGGTAATTCACAAACGAGCCGATGACAGAGGAGCAGCAAAGCCCTCAAAGAGTAAGGTCTCCTGCCCAGGAGGGAGTTTCCCTGCCCCCCACCAGCCCCGCTGCTATGGGACCCCCAAAGCTTAGCAAGAGGCTTTAGAGGGGACTTTGGGGGGCAAACAGACCCCACTTCTGCTTGCCCATGTGTTAGGCCAAGACCTCTCCCTCAGGCCTTAATGACCATCTGGTGCCCTGTCCTATGTCCCAAAGTATGGACAGCCACCACCGCTGACCACACCCCTCGTTCTTTGTTTCCAACCCCTGCCTCCTCAGAAATCTTCACCTCTGTAAACAGCACGCTGGCAGTGGGTGGAGCTTGGACATCGCCTGGCCAGTCACCAGGGCAGCCTGGACTCACTCTCCCTTCCCGCTCCCGCTCCCTCAAAGGGACAGCCACGGATTGGGGGTGTCCGTCTCCTTCTCACAGCCCTTGGGCCTCTTTTCTCCCTCCGCCTTGACCTGGTCTTGGATCCGCCCCTGCTGCCCCAGGCCTCTCATACCACCACCACCACTATCTCCAGCTGCATGATCTTGGGCAAAAGCTCATTGGTCAGCTTAGGACTGACCCACCTGGCACCAGGACCCTCTGCTTCATAAAACCAGGGACCTAGGGTGTTCGTGGGTTCTTGAGGGGTTGGGATTCTCTTGAACTTGTCCAGAAAAGATTGCCCTGTGCTGGGGGTGGGGGAGCGGGGATATCCATGGTGTCTCCCAGTTCTTCAGGAAGCGCCTGAGCCCCCAAAGGCGTCTGCTTCAGATTGGAGCCATCACCCACCTCCCTCCTCCCTGTGCCCAAATGTCTATCTCCCTGTCCCCTCCACACAGCCCTTGTCAGGAAGCCGAGTGTCCCTGGTTCAAAGCACCCACCCTGGAGGGTTCTCCACAGGTGCCCTTTCCGCCCACCCCTGGCTCTCCCTGGCGGCCCTCTGAGCCAGGCTGCTGGGCTGCATCATGTGCAGCCCCCAGGCCCAACTGCAGGGCATGGGACCCTCCACCCGCACAGCCACACACCTCCATCCTCTGCTGTGAGGTTTTTGCTATGGGGGTCTCATTTGGCTGGGGCACCGCCCCCTGAAGCAGCTTACAACTTGACTGGGAGGAGATAGGAGGGGGGATTCAGGGCCTGGGCCCCCTCCGACGTGGACCTTTGGGGGCAGGGCGGGTCACAGGCTTCTCTTGATGACAGTAAGTGAACGGTGGCTCAGGTGGGCTCTAAGAGGGCCTCCCCCTCCCAGCCCCCTGCTTGTCTTGACCAGGCACTGAACCTGTCAGCCGCCCTTTGTGGGGACCCGGACCTATTTTGTTCGCTTTTCCTTGTCTTGACCAAAGCATGTGCCCTGGGTGCCCCTCGGAGACCTCATCTCTCTGACCCGCACACCTGGAATAAAACCACTTCTCATACACGCGTGTGTGCCAACCCATCTTTTTCTGACCGAGCGCCGAGCCAGCCCTTCAGCACCACCCTCTCCACCTCCTAGGTCACACCGGTTCTCCACCTTCCCCATGCCTCAACCCTTTCATACAGTCCCTCATGTGGTGGTGACCCCCCAACCATAAAGTTATTTTCGCTGCTACTTCATCCCTGTCATTTTGCTACTGTTACAAATTGGGTGGCCCCTGGGAAAGGGTCACTTGACCCCCAAAGGGGTTGTGACCCACAGGTTGAGAACTGTCCTAGGAGAAGGTGGGGTCTCCATCCTGGAGGAGGGAAGCCGTACATGGTCAAGCCCCACGCTGCCCGCCCCTCCTGGGTCAGCTACCTCGCTCCGCAGCCCACCTGCCCTGAGGTCACAGTGATCTTTGGGAGCATAGTCCTACTCTGACACACCTGGTCACGAGGAGTGGGGCTCCCCCCAAAGACAACCTGCAGCAGCAGACTACTGTTGGCTAGCAGTGTTTGTTGTTAATGCTATGAACAAGCCCTCCTGAACTCCTGCCATGTGTCAAAGAGCCCTGGACGCAGTGGTTACGTGTCAGGCTGTGTGCTGCATGGTCGGCAGTTCGAAACCACCAGCAGCTCCCGAGGGAGAAAGACTGGGCTTTCTACTCCCAGGAACAATTACAGTCTCTCTCAGAAACCCACAGGGGGCCCTGGGAGTCAGCCTACGTACCGATGGCAGCGAGTTTGGTTTGGTTTGCCTACACGTCAGTCACTTTATTAAGGCTGGAACAGATGTAAATAAGAAAAAATGGTCCCTTCCAGGGAGACAGGCAAATACACGAGGAGCTACAGTCTCAGGTGATCAAGATCCGGTGGGTAGGCAGGTGGGGCCTCGCCCTGCGCCCGGGGCAGGTGTCTGTCCCTCAGAAGGCCTATGAAACAGCAGTGCGGGCCTTGGGCTGACGCAGGATGAGCTAGTGAGGTCTAATGAAGTCTGGTGGGCTCACCAGCTTGGCTGACAGCCCTGGGGTGACGTTGCGGGTGGCCTGAGCCTTTATTGCAGCCTTTTCATTTCACAGATGGGATGGAGTCCCTGGCAGGAGGGAATCTGAGAGGTGGGCACATGGATGCAGTTCCTGGGTAGGAAGGCCAGGAGCGCCCCGGAGAGTCCCATCCTCATCCCAAGCCACTGGGTGAAGAGGTTCCCTGAGTGGTCCCCTCGACCCCCCAAAAAACCCCCAAACAATCGCCATTGCATCAACCCCGACTCACAGTGACCTCACCTGTGTCAGATAGTAGCCCTTCACACTGTTCCCAATGGCTGGTTTGTTTTTTGGGAACTAGAACGCCAGACCTTTCTCCTCAGGCACCTTGGGATAGACTTCCACTTGCTGCCCTTCGGTGAGCTGCATGCTTCCCCGTTGACCTTGAACCAGGGTTGTAGGAAATGGCTTGTGCTCCTTTGAGCGCCCCCTGGAGGATTCCAAAGTGCAGGAGACCAAGACTCCCGGTCAACAGCACACAGAGCAGCGCCCAGGGTGCGGCGGGTCCTCAGTAAGGTCTGTTGCGTGCTTGCCCGAGGGGCGGTGGGCACAGGATGACTGCTGCTCCCCCTATGCTCTGGGGGCCTTCCGTTTGGAACCGGAAGTTTGAGGCCAGCGTCAGCTTGTTCTTGGCTTTCTCTTCTAATATGTTGCCTTGAATTTTCATGGACACACAGGAGGTTTGAACAGGTGACAATTCCTTCTCACTCAGGAGTCGTCCCAGGATGTACAAGTTTATGCCAAATCAGTGCCTGATTCAACAGACAACGACGGAAAAATGCATACAACGGAGATGCCGCTGCAAATCCAGATAGGACGCCCCTTCCTTGTTGCAAACTGCCTTACATACTAATGAACTCGTTAGAAGGCTAAGGCAGTGAACACTGCAGCTTAGGAATTATTCAAGGTTCTCCTTTAGACTGGCAGCAGAGTGTGCCCCGGGAAGGCTTCTCTGTGGTCCGAGTAATGGGCTTCCAGAAGATTTTGCCTAGGGGCCTTGTCTCTGCTCAGAGTGTGGGAGCCTTTAGTGTATTTGCATACAAATTGCAACGTCTATAAAATTCTTCAGTCAAGCAATTTTTAAGTAGAAATGTTATTGCTTCCCCGAAGGCTATAATTCCTTGGGTTTTTTCTTCAATATTCTCCTCACTTAGCCGCCGCTCACATTGACCTAGATTTCTACCTTTGGAGTTTGCAGCAGGTGCAAGGAGTTGGAAAGAACCAAGAAGTGGGGGTCTCGGGGGTGGGGGTGGGGATGGGGCCTGCCTTTCAGGGACTTCATGGTCCACAGCTTCCTTCATTTAGTCCTCAGGTGGAGTCCGGGGTGGGGGGGGTGGAGTAGACACTGCTCCCACCCCCATCTCTAATGAGGACAACGAGGCTCAGAGATGTGGTTTGAGTAGCTGAGAAAGGGCAGGGCCTGAACTATAGGGACATCAGACTGTCTCTGCCGATCGCAACCCCCCACCAGCAAGTGGATTCCAAGTGGAGTCCACCCTAAAGGACAGAACCCAACTGCTCTGTAGTCTGCCTCCCCTTTCTCTGTAGAGTCCATGCGAGCGGCCAGCCTCTCAGGTCGAAGCCAAGTGCTTTCGTCACCATGACACCGGGCTACTTTTGGTGGTAAAAATAGATAGATGATAGATGGATCGATCGATAAAAACAAAACACAATGCCTATTGAACAATGTTCATCCGGGCCATTCACTAGCAGATTCCTTCTGTTGTGCAACCAGTACCCCTAGCCATCCAGACGATTCCAGGAAAAGAGTCCCAGGCCTGCTCATACCTTGCTTACTCTGCTTGTTAGATCCCGTCAAATGGAGTCCAATTCATAGCAGCCCTGGGCGCAACAGAACGAAACCCCGCCTGGTCCCCACCACTGTTGTTTGAGCCCACACTTGCAGCCACGGTGTCCATCCATCTGCTTGAGGGTCTTCCTCTTTTCCACTGAGCTACTAGGAAGGGGTAAGGGTTAACTTAGATGGACGTTGGCGTTTGACCCAAGACTTGAGTGATGAGGTCGAGGACAAGCTCAGGAAGAGTGGGGAGAGCTACCTGAGTGCATGAATAGTACGGGTAGAAGAACTGCACGCCTCACCTGGGTTTGCCCATGTAGAAAGCTACAATCCCCCACATACCCCTCTGCCCCATGCCTGTTGGTCCCCTGCCCACCTGTTCAACCTCACCCCGAGCTCCTCTCTCAGAGACCATGCCGTCCGCTTTCCCATTCCCAGCTTTCCCATGTCTCCCCACTGGTTCCTTCTCATCCTCCCCGCTCAGCTGAAGCACTGAACCTTCGAGGGGCCTTTGCCCATCCAAGCAAAAGTAAGTGTGAACTAGCCTTCCCTCACAAAGTCCTGAAGGCATCCTTCAGAATAGTAACCAATACTGGCTTTTATGTCTGTCTGCCCAGCAACTCATTCCTTTAGGCTGTTGGATGATGTCTAAGAAACTTTCCCCATCTATACTCCATCGCATTGTGATGGATCTATTTGCAGCAAAGGTTAATACACATTTACAAATATCCCTCTCCCTCCTTGCAGGTCTATCCAAGTATCTACTTGTAGATCACCACTACTACCGCATTAAGTAGATGACAGTATTTGCCTCGGTGGCCTTTAACTCGTCCAAAGCTGCCAATGTCTTGCCTGGACTCCCCACTCCTTTATGATGGAACCCTTAGGGACAGGTGCAGGTGAGAGTAACACCTCACTGTCAAAATCACACAAGTTCATTGATAAATTGGGAGCAAGACCGGGCTTTCTCCTCCTGGGGAATCAGTCTCAGAAACCCATAGCAGCAGTTCTACCCTGTCCTGCAGGTTTGTTATGAGTCTGCATGGACTCCGTGGCAGTGAGAATTGATAAAGTCATGGATACACAAACATACTGTGGACCTCTTATTTGTCAGACCCTGGGGATTCCAATGGGAAGGAATCAAGCCCCTCCTTTAAGGAGCACAGATCACTGAGGGCAGCAGGTAGTCATGGCGACAGGCCCACACCGTGTGACACGAGCTGGACAGACAGCAATGCTGGAGCCTTTGCGAGAGAAGTGGAGGCTCGGGTGGTCAGGGAAGGCTTCCTGGAGGTGGTTACGCCTGGTTTGGACCTTAAACTATGACTAGGTGTTAGGTTGTGTGGACCAGTGAGAACCAATTAGGCTCATAAGAGGAAGAACGCACAAAGGCCTGGAAGAGATTGTGGGGTGCTCTCAGGGAACTGCTGGCATTATGGGTAGAGAACCCAGTGTGGAGGGGGGCTAGTGGGAGCTAACTCACGACAGGAAGTCTGGGAATAATCACAAAGGGCCTTGGATGTCACGCTGACAAATCCGGAGGAGATTCTGAGTGATAGAGAAATCTAAGAATTTTAGCAGAAAAGTCTCTCTCCCTCTGTCCAAAGAAGACAGAAGAGGGTAGGGGTGGACATCTGTAGTGAAGTGAAATTGCTTGGTGTGGCTTTTCCATCCTTGGTCTTTGTAACACCCACCCAGTCAGTGCACATACAGCGTAGAAGGCTCTAACTCAGGGACGGGTCTGACTGGCCATTCGTCTGAGTCTGAAGGACAGAAGAATCAGGTAACCGCCAAGAAAGAAAAGCCAACAGTGGAGCGCCGTGTGAGATCCCAGGCTGAAGTGGCACTGGCAGCAAAGACACTGGAGGCCGCAGCACCCAGACCACGAGGCACAGCCGAAGGGCGACACTGAGACTGTAAGGCAGGGGCCCCCAGAATAAGGCAGAGGCCAAGGGTGACCGAAAGGCACAGGACAGTGAGATGGCTGCTGGCTGGAAAGAGATATGCCAGGACCCAGGACTGTGTCCTTAATGTTTTCTCCTCCTGACTGCTTAGCTCCCTAGTAAAACCCCCAAATCATGCATATTGACTGTGAGAGTTCTGTGTCTCATTGTGGAGAAGTAGAGTGCATGCCCAGGGAGAACAGCTGGTGTCTGAATAGACGGGGGTGGAGGGTGGAAG